GGCATAAGGACTAGGAGATGGAAACAGAAAAGGAATCCAGCCCAACTGGCTGCTGACAGGGCTGTCTGTGAGAAGAGAACTGACACTCCCTGCTCCTGCTCCCAGCAACAACTGTATGTGGCTTCAGCTGTGGGTGTCACACACCTGAGCCTGCATCGCTGCCAGGCATATGGAGCTGTCTGTGCTGACTGCTGCCTCGCCCGGGATCCCTACTGTGCCTGGGACGGCCAGGCCTGCTCTCGATACACAGCATCCTCCAAGAGGTATAGACTGCCAGACCCTTGGGATTTTACCCATAGCCCTGGGAGTTTGGAGGTAGATAATGCCGAGGTGGGGGTTGGGAGTGGGGTGTGGATAAGACACAGCTGCCCTGGGGTACAGGACCCTGTTCTAGAGTCTTGGGGGTGCAGGAGCCTCCCAAGAGCACTCCTTTAGGAGTTATCCTCATCCAGGCGGAGTCGCCGGCAAGATGTCCGCCACGGGAATCCTATCAGGCAGTGCCGTGGTTTCAATTCCAATGGTAAGTAAGCACATTGCACATCCTGTGCACTGCTTCTCACGTTTTGGAGTCCTATACACCCAATACCCACAGACACCCTCACAGTCCAGACTTAAATATATGGTTCCCTGGGTGGCAAGATCACCTTAGGTCTGGGATTAAGGAGTCCCATATCACTTCCTCAATGGATAGATACCCAGCCATGTTGTCCTGGTTTGTGTGGGGTTACCCCTTGATGCCTGCCTCTCCCCACTGAGCAGACTACTGTGGAGCAATTCCACTTCCACTCAGGGTCCTCTCGATCCACAGCAAACAAGAATGCCATAGAGTCTGTGCAGTACGGAGTGGCGGGCAGCGCGGCTTTCCTTGAGTGCCAGCCCCGCTCACCTCAAGCCACTGTGAAGTGGCTTTTCCAGAGAGATCCCAGTGATCGGCGCCGTGAGGTGAGTTCCTGTGTCCCCTCAGGGGCGATGCTGCTCCATGGATATGAGAATTCTTTTACAGCGGTGAGTCCATGAGAGAGAAATGTAGTGTATGGCCAGTCTGGGACAGCCCAGCACTGGGGAGGCAGAGGCAGACGGATCTCTGAGTTCGAGGCCAGTCTGGTCTACAGAGCAAGTTCCAGGACCACCCCACCAGGGTTACCCAGAGAAACCCTGTCTCAAAAAAAAACAAAACAAAAAACCCAAAAGAACAAAAGATTCCATATCTGTACTCTGTCAGGGTATACCTCCTTGTTTGGAACATCACATGGGTGAGCTCCAGGATATGGGAATTCTGTGGATATTTTCTGGAAAAGCCTTCCAGGTGTTCCTCTTTTCATGGAAATGCTATGTGGGTGCCACAATTGGGTATTCTCATTAAATGAAAATTCTGTGTGTGCTCCAAAATTTTCTCATTCGTTGTTCAGAAACCCCCCAGCCCCCCCTCCCCCAGGGTCATCATTCTTCCTGAAGTGGGAATATTTATGGATACCTTATTCATATCCCTCTCATGTGCAAACAGTACCTGAGCTTTTTTCTTGGAATATGGAAATACCATGTGGGTGTCTCCACTTGGAATGGTCTCAAACGTGGTGGTCTCCCCTAGAAGCTGGTTAGGGCCGTGGAGTGGTGACCCAGCCCCTGAGCCCCACCCCCTGCCCCTGCAGATTCGCGCAGAGGACCGCTTCCTGCGTACAGAGCAGGGGCTGTTGCTTCGCGCCTTGCAGCTTGGTGACCGCGGCCTCTACTCCTGCACAGCCACTGAGAACAACTTCAAGCACATCGTCACGCGGGTACAGCTGCATGTACTGGGCCGGGACGCCGTCCATGCTGCCCTCTTCCCCCCACTGGCTGTGAGCGTCCCTCCACCTCCTGGCACAGGCCTTCCAACACCTCCTTACCAGGAGCTGGCCCAGCTCCTAGCCCAGCCAGAAGTGGGCCTCATCCATCAGTACTGCCAGGGTTACTGGCGCCATGTGCCCCCCAGCCCCAGGGAGGCTCCAGGAGCACTTAGGCCTCCTGAACTCCAGGACCAGAAAAAGCCGAGGAACCGCCGCCACCACCCTCCAGACACATGAGGCCAGCTGCTGGAGGCCTACATAGGACCAGCCTAGCCCCTCATCCCTTTTAATATAAAAGATATATATATATATAAAAATATCTATATTCTATACATACCCTACCCCTGCAAAGACAGTATTTATTGGTGGGTTGTATATAGCCTGCCTCAGTGGCAGCATTATCCAGAACTTAGACCCATGTTGGTCAGCAATGGCACATGACTGAGCACGCCCATCCTGGCCTAGGGAGTTGCCAGGGCCAGCCCAAGACCACACAGTCCCCAGACTCCGTGGAAATCTCCTTGCTGAACAGCTGTCAAGATCTACAAAACACAGGGAGGGAGCAAGCCCTACTTGTCAGGGCATGGACCGTACACCTTTCCTGGTGAATGTTGTCAGCTGTGCCTTGGCATAGACATGGACACTGGGATTGCTGTGGAGTCTGAGGTGGGGGTTCAGGGCACTCAGAGGAGGGAGAAAGGGGCCATCCCAGGATGCAGGCCCCTGCCTGGGTCAGAGGTGCCCAGTGAAGGCCAACCTTTCCCAGGTATTTATTCTCTATTTATTGGGGACAGAAGAGAAGCCTGTCTGGGTGAGGCAGAACCTTCTCTTCTCCCTTCCTTGCCTGTCCTGGCAGGTCCAGCCCACTCTACCTCCTTAGCCTTTCCTGTGCTGCTTCAACTCATGGCTGGGGCTGAGTGCAGGCATGGCTTAAAAGAACCCCCAGCCCTGAGGATAGTTGGGCCATGGTGGAGGCCCAGGGCCTGTCTGGCATCCTCGAGGCCCACTTATGCCCACTGCCTCAGGTGATGGGTGTAAATAGCTCTGGAGGCAGTGAGGTAGATGGTTGGGGGAGGAGGGGCTCCTGCAGCCCCTGCTACCCAGGCCACGGTCATTCTTGGGTTCCATCTTGCTAATAAACGCTGGCTCTGGGACTAGACTTTGGTTTCTCTCCTTGGTGGTTGGAGCGGGAGTGGAGGTGGGTTAGGCCCACAACTGCTGAGAAATGCAAGCCAGGTGGGAACTTGAAGGCAGTAGATCTGCTACAAGAGGCAGGCGGATTTCTGAGTTCGAGGCCAGCCTGGTCTACAGAGTGAGTTCCAGGACAGCCAGGACTACAGAGAAACTCTGTCTTGAAGAAGCAAACAAAATCTATGTAGAAGACAGGTTTGGTTTAATAATCAGGGCTCCTGCATTTCCTAAGCTACAGAGAGCCCTGTGGCTCAGGCTCCACTTCCACTGTGCAACTGAGGGTGGGTGGAGCCCAAGGGCTGAAGTAACAGATGAAACTTGCTCCTGAACAGAGCCCTCATCACTCAGGATGAATGACAAAATTGCCAGCATAGGGTATCTACTCCCTACCATCCTTAGGGACAACTCTGTGCTTGGTGCTTGGGACCCTAGCACCCTCTTGTATTCTTTCACAGAGTTAAGTCTGGTTTCAAGAAAGGAGGCTCTGGACCAGTAGAGAGAGCCCAAGACAGGGTTTCCAATTGTGTGGGCACAAGCCATCTCTAGCACCTAGCTGCTCAGCATAGCAGGCTCCATACTTCACCAACTGCTATACCTGAGCGGGTCTCCGAACCCTTTAGTAGAAGCTGTCAGGTTACAGTGGAACCCTATGCAGGTCCCACATTGTGCATAGACCTGGTAGAAGCAGAGCAAGCGGGATACCACTCTTCCATACTCTGGGGAGCACCAAATCAACACTAGATCTCCACATCTATATCTGACAATAGACTTGCCAAAGATACACTGAATCTAGCCACCTCTATAGTGATCTTTGCACCTAAATGCACTTGTACACTTACGTGCATGGGCTGGCACAGACAAGCTTGTATGCACACACAGGGACACAGGTGTGCACCTAAATACTTGGGCAAGTGCACTGTAGTGCCAGTGTCATATTTACTATATTTGCTCGCTCAGGCACACAGGCACAGCTGTGAATTCACACAAAGCCCTGCAAAATGAGCACACAAACACCTGTGCCTACAGGAAAACATGCATAGGATGCTGGGGATGCAGCCCAGAAATGAAGTACATGCTCAGCATCCGGGAGCCCCTAGATTTGGTCCCCAGCATATACACACACAGGGCACCTAGGTACACCCACACGTTGCATGCATAGTTATGTAAACAGGTACGTAAGGGCACATGCATTTAAAAAACTAGCAGGTACACATACATGCAGGTATACAGTCTCAGGTGTGTCCACTCTTTACTTTGCTTGATCCTAGTAAGGAACAGAAAGACACACACAGGCATGAGCAGACTCACCCATCCACCAGCAGAGGACATGTAGAGATCATGTTCAGGGTCACATGTAACCCTGAGTGTGAGGCAAATACAGAGTCACCTAGTCTGTCATGGCTTCTGGGAGGCACAGAACCCTCTGATCCAGAGACATCCCACTCTTCTAAGCCACTGTTAATTATGTGACCCTGTGACCCTCTTCTACTCAGTAAAATGGAATTCAGGCACCATCTTCCTCCAAGCTCATGTACGCTTACAAGATAAGGAGTGGTGACCACAGCTGGGCAAGCATTAGGTCCTCTGTGCCTGCACCTCCTTCCGTGCTCTCCTGCCAGTCCCGCTCCCAGTCCCCCTACTCCTGGGACTAAAGGGTCTGTTCCCTCAATTCTACCAAATAAACGTCTATAGGATGAGGGAAGGACTCTCTAGGATCTCTTCTGGGGAACTGGAGGGGGCAGAGGGGTGCCAAGTCAGCAGATGAAGGATTGGGGCCTTGCCAGCCTGATTAAAGGAGACTGAGCTTCACCTGTCCTTGTCTCTGATTGGCCCTTGGGCATCCCTAGCTCCCAAATCCCACTGAGCAACCCCACCAGGGCCTGTGCAGGTCTGTGGAGAGCCAGTTGATTGCTGGCTTTGGGACCAGAAGGTTGTCTGAGGAGGCCAGAGGCTGCCTACCCTGTCCCTTTGCCTGCTGCTGGGACCATGGGGGCTGGGGCCAGCGCTGAGGAGAAGCACTCCAGGGAGCTGGAAAAGAAGCTCAAAGAGGATGCTGAGAAGGATGCTCGGACCGTGAAGCTGCTGCTTCTGGGTAGGGGTGCGGGTCAGTGCTGGGGAGGGGACGGCTGCCGGTCAGCAGTCTGGGGCTAGGCAAACAGCCTCTCCTTGAATCAAGAATTTCTTAGGGGGAGAAAGAAAGTATGCTGGGGCAGGGCACAGAATGGGAGACATTCCCAGACATGGCCTGACAGGTGATGATGTCCTAGTCCCCCAAGGTGAGGTATCCCCATTTCTTGGGGACACTCATCTCTGCAGAAGTGTATACCAAACACACCGTTGTATAAATGTGTGTGTCCAGGCACACTTTTGCCCTCAGGGTCTAGCCTTTCGTTTTCCAGGCCTGCTCAGCAAGGTCTTCTTGACTCTTCTTTCTCCCTTGGGAATAAGGTCTGAGAACAGCTCTAGGATCACCCATGTCCACAAAGGCACTGGATGCCAGAACTCAGTCATTGGTAGACCTGTGAAACAGCTTTTAAAAGTGGAAAATGCCAGGCAGTGGTGGTGCATGCCTTCAATCCCAGCACTGGGAGGCAGAGGCAAGTGAATCTCTGAGTCTGAGGCTAACCTGGTCTACAGAGTGAGTTCCAGAACAGCCGTGCCTACACAAAAGAAAAAAGAAAGTGGAAAGATACTGAAGCCGACATGGGATAAATAAAGCCAATCCCATGATCCCATGGGTGTTGAGGGGACATGGGGGTACTGCCATTGCCTAACCCCAAGGGAAAGTTGCTGCTTTAGAAGGGCAGGCAGAGGTACTAAGCCAGAGCCCCAGGAGAAAGGCCAAAGCTAAGCCGGAAATCCCATTAATCATATCCAACACCCTTAAGGAGTGCAGGCTCAGAAAGGATGTCAGCTCTGTCCTCTCCTCCATCTAAGGATGCTAATTCCCTCTGAGCCTCTCAGAGACATCTCCCTAGTTTCAGGTGAAACGAGAGGCTGGTCCCATTTAGATAATCCTGTGCACGCAGTACTGAACATCGCCACAAGGTGGCACTAGAGGGTTTTCTTATTTTGGTCTCACAGCATAATAAAGACTTTATACACCAGAGTCTGGAGAAACCTCCTCCTTCCCTCTGGGCACAGTTGAGGTCACTCAACTGATGTAAGTCCTTTTTGTCACCTACATCCATTTTACATCAGAAGATCTTCAGGATTTTACTTTCTATAGAGATGAGGGCAAGCGTATCTAGAGGTCTAGTTGGCACCCAGGGCTCTGATCCAAAAGAAGTGGTAGTCAGTGCGGCTCTGGAGCTCAGCTTTCCTTTCAGGTGCCGGTGAATCCGGGAAGAGCACTATCGTCAAGCAGATGAAGTGAGTGTTCCCTGCCCATCCTAAGGCCCCTAGTGATGTGTAGGTGCATGCACATTAGAACCTGTCCTTCCCTACTGGCCCAGGAGGCTCTGACTTTGCTGGTCTTGGCTGTAGAATTATCCACCAGGACGGTTATTCGCTGGAAGAATGCCTCGAGTTCATTGCCATCATCTACGGCAACACTCTGCAGTCCATTCTGGCCATCGTCCGGGCTATGACCACGCTCAACATTCAATATGGAGACTCAGCCCGGCAGGTGAGGCAGGAGCCAGGCTGATGTTAGTCTTTGAGGGCTCTTGGCACCTGGCTAGGCTCAGGTTCACGACCACTACCTTGCCTTACCACCAGGATGATGCCCGGAAGCTAATGCACATGGCGGATACTATTGAGGAAGGCACAATGCCCAAGGAGATGTCAGACATCATTCAGCGCTTGTGGAAGGACTCGGGTATCCAAGCTTGCTTTGACCGAGCCTCAGAATACCAGCTCAACGACTCTGCTGGCTAGTGAGTACACGAGTGGATGCAGGGGACAGAGGAGATGGGTAGGCAGGACCCGGCTGGTGTGATTGCCCACACAACTCACCCACTCATACCGGGTGGTCTTCCTCAGCTATCTTTCAGACCTAGAGCGCCTGGTGACTCCAGGATATGTACCCACCGAGCAGGACGTCTTGCGTTCTCGTGTCAAAACCACTGGCATTATCGAGACTCAGTTCTCCTTCAAGGACCTCAACTTCAGGTAAGACCCCTGCGCTGAGAGCTCATCTGGCCTGACAGGAACTTCACTGTCCTACCCTTGCCAGGTCATTTCAGATGCCGAGCGGTATGAGGGCTCTCCAATCAGCTTAGGAGGAGGACAAAGGGGTGCGAACGGGCATATCCAGGTGACCTGACACGCGGGTCTAAATCTGGACCGGGCTCTGCCCTACAGAATGTTTGATGTGGGCGGGCAGCGTTCCGAGCGCAAAAAGTGGATCCACTGCTTTGAGGGTGTGACGTGCATCATTTTCATCGCCGCGCTGAGCGCTTACGACATGGTGCTAGTGGAGGACGACGAAGTGGTGAGTGCCAAGTTGGGCCGGAGTGTTTGAGAAGGCAGGGGGAGCCTAGGAGCCAGTGAGACTCACGAAACAGAAGCTGTGTGGGAGGGGTTGGTGTTGGGAGGCTAGAGACCAAGGGGCAGCTGCCTGCGTAGCCTGGTGCCCAACAGCCGCTCCGCTCCCCAGAACCGAATGCACGAGAGCCTGCACCTGTTCAACAGCATCTGCAATCATCGCTACTTCGCCACAACGTCCATCGTGCTCTTCCTCAACAAGAAGGACGTTTTCTCCGAGAAGATCAAAAAGGCACACCTCAGCATCTGCTTCCCCGATTACGATGGTGAGATCCCTAATCCCGGCCGCCAGGCGGTGCCCCAGCCCCACGATTCCCGCCGTGCGCTCCTTCCGGCGGGAAAAGGTCTTCCCGCGCTGAGAGAATGCCGCCCTCTGCCGCAGGACCTAACACTTACGAAGATGCCGGCAACTACATCAAAGTGCAGTTCCTGGAGCTTAATATGCGACGTGATGTGAAGGAGATCTATTCCCACATGACGTGCGCTACCGACACACAGAACGTCAAGTTTGTCTTTGACGCTGTCACCGACATTATCATCAAGGAGAATCTCAAAGACTGCGGGCTCTTCTGAGGTGGGGTCCTAGCTTGCCAGACCTTCACCCATCTTTCTCCTTAGTCTCAGGGTCCTAACCCTGCCCCTAGTTCTTCACTAGATTCACTGCTTCAGACTGCCGCATTCCCTGTTCCCCACCCTAAACCCCGCCCACTGCTCTCAGGTCCCACCCAATACCAGAGGCCCCGCCCCCTGCTCCTTAGCGCAACATCTTTTCATCCCTTCCCAACCTCCAGATGCACAGATTCCAGGGCTGCCCCCACCCCTCGCCCCAATCTCATTTATTTTGCTGTTCAAGGAGCCTGAGATTCCATTTCCTCTTCTTTTCACAGACACCTGAATTCATGTGTGTCCCTTGCCCTGAGACTCTGTAGCCCTTCAGCCCTGTAGTCCCCTCAGATAATGTCTATTCCGCAAGCTGCCGCTCCCATAGCCACACACCCAAAGCCCTGATGCTTGAAGTGCAACCCCTCCCTCAGGTACCCAGCTCCACTCTGCTTTTCACCGCCTGGCTACACTGGCCTCTTGGACCTACAGCAGCCAGTCTCAGCTAGGACAGGACTTGGGACAGCTGGAACTCACAGTGACTCAGCAGTGCCCTAGTGACCCGTCTCCAGCCTCTTCTGCCGCCCCCACCAGCAGCAGCTCACTAGCAGATTCCGGTTCAGCAAACAGCCCTCCCTCCCCAGTTTCCACGAAGGGCTTGAGATATCCCTCCCTCAAGCAGTAGGCCAGTTCAGGCTGCTACCTGCATATGACAAGTCCAACACCCGTCCACCCAGTGGTCAGTGACTGTTCCTCCCAGTAGCCTGGAGAATCCAAAGTCCAAGCTCTGGTCTTTGAAGCCTTGCATAGAGAAATTAGTGACTTTGACGTGAGTGCCAGGGAAAGACACAAGCCAAACCCATCCCCAAACACCAGGCTCAGGGTTTCTCCCAGTCCCTTCTCCCTCTGCTCTTGGACGATTCCACATCACACCTCATCCACCCACACACAATACTCAGGGCTGGCTGGTCAAGGCGTGCTGTATTGAAGAAGGGTATTATTGACATAGCTATGACCAATAATGAAGCCATGCTGAGGGGTGGCTCAGAGCAGAGTTCAACCCCTATTGATTAACCATGGGCAAAGAATATCCCATGTGAGGTTACAGGCAATTCCATGTGACCGCGTTGTCCCTCCTGATTCAGGGCCCGTTTCTCAGGAGGGAGAACTGAAAACCATGCCTAAACCGTTAGAGACATACCCCACATACCCCAGCCACTTCTTCTATCTTTGCTTAAGCCTGCGGACCAGAACCAGAGCTGCTGGTAGAGGCGAGATGCTTCTGTCTAGCAAGGCTAGGGCTCAACCTCTCCTTCCCTTAGCTAGCTACACGCTCAACAATAAACCTTTGCACAGGTCTGCTGTCCTTCCTTGGGTCGGTGGGGGAAGCTTAGCCATTATGCATCCTGTACATTTATTAGCTTCCTAACACTAGACATCAGTGACGTAGGAAGATGAACCCGTTCCAAAGTAAAGTGTCTGGCCTGACATGGGCTGTGGGATCTCAGAGGGGATTGGTGGATCCAACTCATGATGTCAGACAGAGGCTGAGAGATATGGAAAACGTTATTGGGACAGGTTACAATCAACAGGGAGTTCTTGCTTACTTGTTTTATGAGACAGGGTCTAACTGGGTAGCTGCAGCTGACTTTGAACTCACCATCTTCCTGCCTCTGAGTGATAGGATTAGAGGCATGACTCTCTGATGACAGCTAGTGACAGGGAGATGTGAGATGAACAGATGTTCATCTGACAGAGAGTAGAGTGCGTAAGAGCTGGCTCAGCACTGGAGCTGTGGGCACACGAACTCAGCGAAGCAGGAACAATGGAGAGGCAGAAGACAGTAGAAGAGAGGAGACAGGGCCACATGCCAGGAGAAGGCAATGAGGACATACCGAGGCTCTCAAAGCTCAGACGTGACTGTGGCGAGGATTAGGATGAGGCAAAGGAGAGACTCCTCATCTCCAGAGCAACAGTGGCAGCCAAAGGCTGGTGTTCGAGAGAGCATGACTTTAATCCCAGCACTCAGGAAGCAGAGGCAGACGGATCTCTGAGTTTGAGACTATCTCGGTCTACATAACAAGTTCCAGGCCAATCAGGGCTATAGTGACATACACACACACCCTTCGTTAGGGGAACTGGAGAGGACTCAGCGGACAATAGCACATAATGCTTTTACAGAGGACCTGAGCTCAGTCCTCACAGCAAGCTGCTCACAACCACCTATAGCTCCAGCACCTGAGGATCTGTTCCTTCTTTTAGCTTTAGAAGTTACCCGGACTCATATCCACATATGCCCACATAAGTACACCCACATAAGGATAAATAAATAACAAAATAAGTGTTGTTTTTTTTAAAAAAATCAGAGGACTGGAGAGAAATGGCTCAGCACTTAAGAGCACTGGTTGCTCTTCCAGAGGACCTTGGTTTGGTTTCAGCACCCACATGGTAACTCATAGTCCAAGGGACCCAATATCTTCTTCTGGCTTCTGTGAGTACTCAGTACACACTTGGTACACAGACACCCATGCAGGCAGAACATCCACAGCATAAAGTAAAATGATTTTTAACATTTTCGGTTGGGTATGATGGCACACATCTTTACTCCCTGCCCTGAGGTGAGGCAGGTGAATCTCGGTGAGTTTCAGGCCAGCCTGGTCTACATAGCCTGGTCTCCAGAGCAAGTTCTAGGACAACCTATACAAAGAACTATGCAAAGAAGCACTGTGTCAAAAGACAAAAGCAAAACAAAGCCACAACTAAACAAAGAAATCAGAAAGTGGCATGATGGCACAGCCTTTGGTCTGCTGAGGCAGGCTGACTTCCTTGAATTTGAGGCCATCCTGCTCTACACAGCAAATTCCAGGCAAACCTGGGCTACATATAAAGACTCTGTCGGTAAATTGTCTTCTTTTTTTTTCTTTTTTTCTTTTTTACAAATCACAGTCTGATGTGGTGGCTCACAGCTTTCAAATTGGAATTAGGACTAACAAGATGGTTCAGTGGATAAACCACTTCCTGGGTAAGCCTGGGTTCCACCCCAGAACCTGCGTAAAGATAGAAGAGAAGGGACTCCTAAATTGCCCTCTGACCTCCACATTTGTACTATAGTATGCACCACAACATGAAGAAAAATATCTGTTCCTAGATATGATTTCTCTTTCCTCCTCCTCCTCCTTCTCCTCCTCTTCTTCCTCCTCCTCCTTCTCTTCTTCTCCTCCTCCTCCTCTTCCTCTTCTTCCTCTTCCTTCTCTCCTCCTCCTCCTCCTTCTCCTCCTCTTCTTCCCCTTCCTCTTCCTCTTCTTCCTCCTCCTCTTCCTTCTCCTTCTTCTTCTGCTTCGAATTTTTGGTGGTGGTAGTGAAATATATATACCATAGAATTTACATATTATTTATTTTTTTATTTGTTTTTTCGACAGGGTTTCAAAAAAAAAATCTGTGTAGCCCTGGCTGTTTAAAACTTGCTCTGTAAATTAGGGTGGCCTCCAACTCGGATACCCGACTGCCTCTGTCTCATGAGTGCTGGGATCAAAGGAATGTGCCACCACTGCCCAGCTAACCATTAAATCTTTAAAGAACTTTTTATTAATGTGTGTGCGTGTGTGTGAGAGAGAGATAGAGACAGAACGACAGAGAGACAGAGAGACAGAGAGAATGTGTGTGTGGGTGTTGGTGCTTGCATGCCACGGCTTGCGTGGGAGGGTAGAGGACAACTCAGGGGAGTCAGGTTTGCCTTCCCACCTTGTTTTTGAGGCAGAGTCTCTCTTTTTTGGTAAGCTGGGTACTCCATGAGCTTCCAGGCTGTTCTGCCTCCCTCCTTGTTCTAGAAGCACACCGAGGCTGTGAGCTACTGCATCCAGCTCTCCCACAGGTTCCAGCGCAGGTCCTCAGGCCTGTGCAGCAAGTGCTTTTATCCCTCTCCCCAGCTTCATCTTAACTGTTTTATTTCTTTTGTTTTCCAAGACAGGGTTTCTCTGTGTAGTCATGGCTGTCCAGGAACTCACTCTGTAGACCAGGCTGAACCTGTACCACCACGGCCTGGCCTATGTGTTTTAAATGTGCATGTTGGTGACACTGAGTATGCTTATAGTGTCGTTCAGACATCATTACCGTCTATCACCAGAGCCTTTCCCATTTTAAACATCTGAAAATTTTTATCTATTAGACAGTGACTCCTCCTTCAAGCCCCTGGCAATCAGCACTCTTGTCTCACACAAATAGGATAGAAGTGTGTGTCTGCTCGTCAGCTGCTTGCTTCACTTAGGTAATGCTGAGGTTCATCCACGTCGTCAGCTGCTTGCTTCACTTAGGTGATGCTGAGGTTCATCCACGTCGGAGCCTGTGTCCAGACCCTCTTCTTTCTTATTGCTGAATAATATTCTGATGCATTTTGGTTTGGTTTGTTTTGTTTTTTTGAGACACTGTTCTCTGTGTATCCCTGGCTGTCCTGGAACTCACTATGTAGACCAGGCTGGCCTCAAACTCACAGAGATCCACCTGCCTCTGCCCCTCAAGTGCTGGGATTAAAGGCATGCACCACCAGTGCCAGGCCCTGCTTCTAATTTTTTTATTGCATTCACTTTTTGTTACGTTTATTTTGTGTAAGGGGTATGTGTGTATGTGGAGGGGGAGGGGGATGCACACACCTCAGTGCACACATGGAGTAAGAGCCAACTGTGGGAATTGGTTTTCTCCCTCTACCAAATCATTGCCAAGCTATTAGGCTTGACCTTAAAAACCTTTACCCCCTGAGCCATCTCGCCAGCCCAAGTTTCAGTTTTTTCAGACCTGTGCCACTGTACCTGATTTCTTTGGTTTTCAGTCAGGTTGTACTATGTAGCCTAGGCTGACTTGGAACTAGCAATCCTACCTCCACCTACTAGGTGCTGGGAATCCACAGACCACCATGCCTGTCTCTTCTTGTATAACACTTCACTTTTTTCTTGGTCTGGGGATTAAAGCCAGGGTTTTGTCCATGCTAGAAAATTCTCAGCCACTATTTGCTTTTTGAGATGTTTATATCTATATGCATGCATATAGATATATATATCCAAACATTAAAATAGCTTTAAAATTTTTAATATTGGTGTCAGGGACAGGGGTTCACATGTGTAACCCTATCACTTTAAAAGCAGGGCAAGGGGTGGGGGCTGGAGAGATGGCTCAGTGGTTAAGAGCACTGACTGTTCTTCCAAAGGTCCTGAGTTCAATTCCCAGCAACCACATGGTGGCTCACAACCTTCTGTAATGGGATCTGATGCCCTCTTCTGGTGTGTCTAAAGACAGTAGCAGTGTACTCACATATATAAAATAAATAAATCTTTTTTAAAAAGTAGAGTCAGGAAGGCCAGCCTGGTCTACAGAGTGAGTTCCAGGACAGCCAGGGCTACACAGAGAAACCCTGTCTTAAAAAAAAAAAAACAAAAAACAAAAAACAACAACAAAAAATGTCATATTATATGAGTCATGTGATATATATACCTGTCAGCAATAGGGATTGAACCTAGTGCCTCACTACCAGACAGCGTGCCCCACTGAGCTGCAGCTGCAGCCCAGATGTCACTGCTTTGTTTTTCTCTCTTCGCTTCGGTCTTACCTTGCACACATGCTAGTCAAGTACTCTGTTATTGATCCCCCCAACACACACACACACACTCCTTGAATCTTAAAAATTTTATTTCTACACGAAACACAATTTTTATCGTTTTATTGCTTTGTTTTA